ATAACACTGTTCTGCTGTCTGCAAAAGTATTCTCATAAATCACAGATTGGCCAGACTACTACCTACCCACCTACCTAGTTCTACTGCTTACAGAGACAGTTTTGAACTGAGCACTAATCTACACCTGTATACGTTGATATATTTTTTCAACCTGCTACATTATATCACTGATCTTGGGGGGTGAATGGAGGAATCTACTCTTTTAGTCATTCAGTTGAAAGACTGTACAATCTTTAAATACAAATTGACACATGAATTACAAAACACAGGAGATTTCATTATCGACATTCCTAAGTGTACGGAACAATCCCAAAATAACTTAGAAGCGACAGCTACATGAAAATCATTCCTCCTCAGTTTCTCAGATTATAAAACGTTGAAGGTCAGGTAGCAAACAGCAAAGAGATTCCCATTCTTCTACTTGTATGTCTTCCAGGGTGTGTTGGGAGTTGGTCCCAAAACTCACTCCCTATATTTCTAATAACTTTTGAAATTACACTAAACATAACCTGAACAGCTTTTCAATGAGGACACTTCCAAAATCAACTGAAGTGTTTAAAGGAAAAACATCTATCATCTTCTGATCAAGATCACATACATCATTCTGTTTAGTCAATAAAGTTCTCCAAAATTTCTTTATCCAAGACCTAACAGAAGGCATACGTTTTTTAGGAAAATAATAGAGACCAACAGCAACTGTGAACACCAGTATGTTAGTGGAAATGCATAAAACCCAGGAAAGAAATTCCTACTGGAAATGTAAGCCTATCTGGGAATAAAAATCAAGTAATACATACAGGTAACAGAGACTATAACTGAAATGCCTTCAATCTAAAGTGGAGGGCTGTTTGTCTGTATGTCACACATGGTGAATTTAGGGCTACCCAACAAAGCTTATCCTTAAAACCATCCTACAAAGTGCAAGATGGCTAGTTGACACTGCCGTGTATGTTTCAAAGTTGCTAAGAGAGTAGACACTCAAAGTTATCATCACAAAGAAAAAAAAATTTGTAACTGTATGAGGTGATAGGTATTTACTAAACTTATCGTGGAGATCATTTCACAATACACGTAAGCCAAGCCATTATGCTGTACCCCTTCAACTTTACAAGTGCTGTTGTGCGTTAATTATATCGCAATTAACCTGGAAAATTAACAATGAAGCAAATTATGCAAAATTCTGATTATAAAAACATACTTTGTGACTTTTCTGAAAATAAGGGAAGAAAAATAAATTACATGAAATGAATTTTTTTTAAGAGCCGCCAGGTGGCAGAACTAACTGTGTAAGCCTCACTTAGATGGAGAGCAGTTTGTTCTGCTGAGAACTGACCGGAAGGTGGCGACGTAGCCTCAGTTTCTCAGTACCGACAGATCAGCCTGGTCTCAGTTTAAGCCTTTCATATACCAAATAAAACAAAAATACACGTCTCAAACACCTTTTTGTATGAGAAAGTGTTCACTTCCTTACATTCTGAATGTTGATCTGCAGTTCCATTTTGTAGTGATTAAAGTCTTTGGCAAGTTCATGGCCCTGATGATAGAAAGTAAACATTCCCTGAAAAAATGACAGCATCTAAAACAAAGGAGAAAAAGAAACATTAACACACACACACACAAATAAAAATCTCAGGAGAAAAAAGTAAATAAAAACAGCCACTTATTTCTCGTCACCTTATTGTGATTCTATTGAAGTAAAATAATTAAAAGGAAGTCACTAGAATTCAATTAAATCTAACTGCTTATTATTCACGAATCGGTCCCTATAAAAACTGAAGGACTTGTGATTTTTTTTTTCCCCTAAATATCACAGCCATTTAGGCAGCTTTGATAGTATGCTGTATAGGAGAAATGGAATTCTACATTAGCCATTTGTGCTTTTTTTTTTAGATCAAGAGACCCCCTACGTGCATTTATAATTGAAATCGTTATCACTGTAAGGCGACAGAACCTATAAGGACAGTGAAATGCAGAACAAAGAGCTAAAGGCTCTCTGAAGGAGCATTCAGTGCAGAGCAACCTGTTTTGTTGACAAGGATGCTCAGGGACTAGGGCAGGGAGTGGGGCAGAGATGGGGCAGTTATTAAGCCCTGACTTTCCCACAAACTCTCCACCAGAGGCTCTTGATAAGAAAGCAGCTGCTTCTGTCCCACATGTGAGTAAATCTAGAGTAAGAGGGATTTGGGGTGAGGGTGAAAGAAATCCTGAAATTCATTTTCTCCAGAAGGTCACGCAGTTTAATGGTTAGGAATTTGGGACTCTGGCCAGCAGGGGTCAACTCCCAACTTCAGCGATGTCAGATGGGCAAGTTACTGAAGTTTCTCTAATTTCTACATTTGCTAAGTAGGATAATAAAGATATCTCCTTATGGAGTTACTGTTTGGAATACACGCAAGATCACAGTAAAGTATTTAAAACAATGACCTGAGTAATAACCGAGCACTGGAAGTGCTCAATAAATGTAGGCCATTTTTCTAATTTCACATGAAAAGAAAGCTTTAAGGAGGTTTTCTTTGTTTACGTTAATGCTATTACTCCACTGGCCCACAGCTTCCACAAAAGCTAATTTTTTTTAATTTTGTTTTTTATTGACATGTAGTTGATTTAACTGCTAATTTTGAATTAATCATTACTGTTTGTTTCTCAAAATCATACACACAATGGGTAAATTGTACTGCGTGTGAATTCTATCTCCAGAAAGCTAGGTTTTTTCAATCATATGTAAGATAGTCTATATTAAAATTAAAATGAATCTTTTGAGAATCAGGAATCTCAGTGTACCTATATATGTTTTTTCCAAAACCCACAGTATGAAATGCCCTTTACATTTGGATTCAGAATACATTTATTCATATCTAAGTAACTGCAGCAATCAAGAGCACATCTATAGAAGCACAAACGAAAACCATGTGTTTCTAAAATAAGTATAAAGAAACGTCAGGGCAACTCACAAAACAGTTTCAAAAGCTCCATGCACTGGTTCTTAAATTGCATAAGCACTGTGAACTGTATTAGAAATAATGTTACCAATCATTGTTGAAAGTTTCAAAGTCTGGACTGGTGCCCTTGCTTTAAAAACAAATTTGAGTAGAGGGGAGATTATCCCCAAAACACCAACACTCTCACTCACATTCCAATATAATTTCTTTCAAGGGGATTTCTTTTAAGGGTGGAGTCACCACTAGGGTAGCAGAAACTGACCTAACTGCAGAGTCCTGGAGACCACGTAGCAAGAGGAAACTGCACTGCACGCTGCTGTGCAAAGAAGGCAGAGAACCACTATTTAGAGGTGATTCTTCAACTTCATGGCTATCTGGGTCCGCTGTTTACACAGTACGGTGTCTTGCTTCATGTTTATGCATTACAGACTCTAGCAACCATACATTAGATCTTGAAAGAAAAAATTCTTACTTCATCCATAATTCGACTAGCAGAACAACTTGCTATTATTATATACTTACAGGTTCCACAAACTCAAACTTCTTCCTTTCTTGGATTTCCTGAAGCTTGCATACGTATTCAAGAGACAGTTCGTAAAAGTGTTGCCGGTTTTGTTCCACTTGGATATCTGCCTGTGTTAAAACAATGGAGGCTGGTCAAATTAAAGATTTACCCCAGCTCTGCTAAGCTACAGTCTAGGGGCCAGACGTGGCCCGCCGCCTGTAAGTGAGGTTGGACTGGACTCTAGTCATGACTACTGATGCGTGTGTCTTCCATGACTTCTTTCCTGCTATAGTAGCTGATTATTTCAAGAGACTGAGTAGTTGAGAGGAACCTTGTGGTCTTCCTAAGTCTAATACAATGTTTACTATCTGACTCTCTGCAGAGAAACGTTGCCAATTCCTGTTCTCTGTGACGAGGTAGACCCCAAAGGACTGGCAATCACACTGCTAAGCTCTTTGTGAAAAACCTACCCTAACCACAAGTGACACCCACAGTGGCCCCATACACAGAACCCAAATTACATCAACGTTATTTCCAGTAACAAATCCGCTAGGAATGAAGTGGCCTAGGGAAGGGAGTTGAGCAAATCCCGGTCACCTCAGCACTCATGAGTGAAGGCAGCAGGTGAGGAAGAGGTGCCCGTGGCACCAGCTCACGAACTTGGCTCTCACAGGCAGGCCTGGGCAGGAAGCCCGTCTGCAGGCAGTCATGCTCCTAAGCCCTGACAAGGTCCCATCTACCGGGAGGGAACAGGCACCAGATGGTTTCAGGACACTACTCCAAAAAATGGTTCCAGCTTATCTTGTCTAACGAGAAAGGACCTGGAAGAGGAGCACGGCTCCAGGGAGGAACAGCGGAGAAGCCACTTGTCCTCAAGACAGTTCCTACAAGGCATCGTGTATTTCCTAACGTGACTAATTTTACTTTTACAAGTATTTATCTGGACATTTATCCAAAGAGGCCATATCTAAGCACATGGAAAGATGCTCAACATCACTCATCATTAGGGAAATACAAATCAAAACCACAAGGTACCAACCCACATTTATGGAAGGAAGGAAGGAAGGACGGAAGGAAGGAAGGAGAAGAAAGAAAAGAGAAGGAAAAAGAAACACAAACTTATCAAAAAAGAAAGAAGGAAAAGAATCTATCCAAAAAAAGAAAAAAAGAAAAAACAAGTTGCTGACGATGTGGAGAAACTGAAGCTTTGTGCACTGCGGGTTAGAATGTAAAATGATGCAGCTGCTGTGGAAAACAGTACGGCAATTCTCCAAGAAGATTAACAATAGAACTACCAAACACTCCAGTAATTCCATCTCTGCGTGTATACTCCCAAGAACGAAAGCAGGGACTCAAACAGATACTGGCACACCCACATTCAGAGCAGTGTTATTCACAAGAGCTAAATGGTAGAAGCAACTGAAGTGTCCACCGACACATGAACAAACAAAATGTGGTCAATACAGATAATGGAATGTTTTTTAGCCTCAAAAAGGAAGGAAATTCTGACACCTGCTACGAGGATGAACTCTGAGCACACTATGCTAAGTGAAGTAAGCCAGTCACAATAGGACAAATACTGTACAATTCCACTGATATGAGGTGCCTGGAACAGCGAAATTCACAGAGACAGGAAGCTGAATGGTGGCCTGGAGGTGGGAAGACAGGGGATGGGGAGCTACTGTTTAATGCACATAGAGTTTCAGCACTGTGAGCTGAAAAGGGTTCTACAGATGAAAAGTGGTGACTGGTTGCACAACAATGTGACTGTTCTTCATGACACTGAACTAACTGTAAACTTGTCAATGGTTGAAATCATACATTTTCTGTTATATCTATTTTACCACAACAAAAATTTTTTAATTTTTGGGAAAAAAATTTATCTAACATGTAATAAGTTTTCTCCACACAAACACTGCTAGAGCTAATGAAAGAATTTGGCAAGGTAGCAGGATACAAGATTAACGTACAAAAATCAGTTGCACTTCTTTACACTAACAATGCATCGACAAGAAAAGAGAGTAAAGAGACAATCCCTTTTAAAATCGTAGCCAAAAGAATAAAATACTTAGGAATAAATATGACCAAGGAGGTGAAAGACTTATATATGGAGAACTACAAAACACTGATGCAATTTTTTTTGTCATCCAGTGATTTTTAAAGTAACGTTTAAATGTAATAAATAACAGTGTTTATTAGCTAAGCCAAAGTGAGAAGCATGCACTCTACCACTGAGCTACATCTTCCCCCTGCCATTTTTTTTTTTAGTGGATTCTCTCTCCTGGTTGTGCTACTGCAATTACCCCAGCATCACTGGTCAGCCTCTATCAATAGCCTCCTAATGTTCTGAGCATTCAGAACTGCTGTGCATGATTAAATCACCAGAATCCTTCATAGTGTCAATAACCCATAATTTACAGACACCCAAATTATGCCTAGCAGCACAGACCTTTAGCCTGACTCAATCACTACTCATGTGGTATAATAGGAAATGTATCTGGTCTCTGTCCCAGGTTCCCGCAACAAACCTCCTAAAGCCCTGGGAGTTTCCTGAGTGAGGGAAGTGTCTTTTGTCATCTGTAAGGAGCCTGTTTTGAGAACACTTGAATTTAAGCTAATGAGGTCACTTAGGGTGAGGCCCCAAGATAGCACCCGGAAGACCAACTGATCAGAGGGTTGGAACTTTCGGCCCCACCCCTCAACCTCTGGGAATGGGGAAGCACTACAGATTAAGCTCTATAAAAACTCCTGAGCAGCAGTTCATGAGCGTCCGTGAAAAATTAATACACAGAAACCTCAATTAAACAGAGCTGGGAGACCAGAAGGGGGAGCTCTCGCAGCCTGTGACAGGAGCAGAGCCCAATAGGAAGGAGGGGGACTGCTCTTCTTCCCTAGCAAGGACGCAGCCAGTGAAAAGCCACGGCCTCTTTGCCTACTACAACTTCCTTTTCCTCTCTATAAAAGGGTGCTGCTTCCCTTGCCCTGGGGGAACTTGCACATGGCTTGCCACGCTTGCAGACCGCAAACTGATCCCAAGTAAACCCATCTTTACTAGAGAAATATCAGGCCATCTATTTATTTCAGGTCACCAGAAAACCTGTCCACTTACCCAGAGAATGAAGAACCTCAGTTCCAGGAGGTCAGAAGTTTCTGCACTTGGGACCCTTCCAGACCCCACCCTGTGTACTTCTTCATCTGGCTGTTCATCTGTATCCTCTGTCTCATCCTTTATAGTAAGCTAGAAAACTTACATAAATATTTCTGAGTTCCATGAGCCACTCTAGCAAATTACTCAAACCCAAGGAAGGAGTCACAGGAACCTCTTATTTATATAGTTTTTTATATATATTTATATATATATATATATACACACATACACACACACACACACACTTACTAGTTATAGTTATAGTGATATAGTCAGTTAGAAGCACAGGTAACAAGGACTTGCAACTGGTGTCAGAAGTGGGGCAATCTTGTAGGACTGAGCCATAAACCTGTAAGATTTGATGCCATGTCCAGGCAGACAGTGTCAGAATTGAGTTAACTGCTTGGTGGTGCTGGAAAACACACATGGTCTGCTACACCAAGCAAAAGTCATTTTTAACAAACATACAATTTCAATTTGATGAATATCTCATTTCTGACCATTCCTCCTGTAAATATACATAATGAGAGTAGATCACTCAAAGATATCCAAAGGGCCTATTTTTCTAGTCATATTTACTGCAATAAAATTATCTGACTACTCAGGAAACAAAAATACACATCAAAATTCAGCAGTAAAGGAATTTTCTCAATTATCTAATTCTTGTTCTAGCACAAATATTAATCAGAATTTAGGGATGTGATGGAGGCAGTAGTTACTGTGCTCAAGAAACATAGAGCTCTAGATAAAGATCATAATAGAATTACCAAAACTGCCAGCCTGGTTTTTTGCCACAATTTTCTCCTGTCATTTTCCTTGGAAACAAGAGGAAAGAAGGGATAACAAGTTTCCATGCCCAGGCTGAGGACCACTTTCAGCAACCTTTATTAATCCCTTGAGCCCTTCAACTCAATTCACTAAAGATCAGCAATGCACTAGCCACTGCCAAAAGCAGCCAAAATCCACATCGAACCTGTTTCCCTTTGAAGAGCATCCCCCTTCTTAAGGCCTGCATGCTTGCAACAGACATGTCAGGTGGGAGCTGGCATGTTTGTAGAGAGCAAGACACGAAAGGATATGTAATCTCAGTAAACGTGAAATGATTCAACTTGAGAGTCTCCTCAAATTGCCAATGCAGAGCTTAATTATCTTTGGAAATGATGAAACAGTCGAAGCCCAAGCTCACCGTGCAAGCCTCTCACGCCTGTTCATTCAATAAATATTTATTAAGTGCCTACTCACTGACAAGTCCGATTCTAAGCACTGGGGACAGAGTACCAAACAGAACAATGATTTTACCTGCAAGGAGCTTACATCCTGTTGGAAGAAGCCACATGAACAACTGAACAGGCAGTAAGGCAAATGGCTGTGGTAAGAGTAAGGGGGGAAAAAAGCAGAGTAAGGGGAACAGACACTCTAAGTAAGACAGTCAGAAGACTTCTCTAGTAAGGGGAAGTCTGAGTGGAGAGTGTTTGGAAGACTATTTGGAGGAGAGAGGCAGGGAGATCCAGGCAGAAGGATGAACAAAAGCAAAGACTCTCAACACAGAGTCCAGCCCGAGCAAGGCAGCCACGTGGGTGTGAGGACGGTGGCATGGCCCCTAGTGTTCAAAGACAAGCCACACGATGGCTCACTGCCTGTCCCACAGAAAACAGACTGTAGAAATGCCTTGTGGGGAGCAGGGAGGTCCCTGCAGAGATCTGTGTGAGATATGCCCACATTCTGGCCAGGGTGATGGAGTGGAGGTCAGGTGAAGTGGCCATGCTCTGAGACTATTCTGAAGCTGAGGAAGACATACACTGATGGTCCAGATGTGGGTGAGAGAGAAAGGGCCAGGGACGACGCCACAGACTTTGCCTACACAATACCGCGAACGATACCCAATTAGATACAGCGGCATGGAGATGGAAATTTACTCGGGGCATCAGAGTCCCTGCAGGATACCTGAAAAGAGAGATTAAGGGAAGAACAGAGGTAGGAAATTGCTGACATCAAGACAGCCTACAAGAGCAATAGCTGTCATTTCACAGGTGACAGAGGGAGGGGGATGAGGGAGCACAAATAACAATGAAGTGGTTTTCTACCCAACATGGGACATGGAGAGAAAGGAGCCCTACCTTCCTCCAGTATTGTGCTGAGGATTAAATGGTACAAAAGTGCCTTTCTCTTATACAGACCATCAAACGCCATCAAAATGTCAGTCAAAAGCATTAGAGACAAAAGAAAATGTGACAGGTGGGTAACGTCAAAATGACCACACCACACACATACACACACAAAGAGTTTGCAATATGTGACATTTAAATGTAACCCAGGCTTATACTGAAATGTTGCCATTTTGATCATGCTTCAGTAAGTATGTATTACAGCAGTACGTTATGCCCAGATTCCATGTGTTTAAAAATAAATGAGAAAAAAAAATCGCACTTTTGTGGGATGAGTCAAGATCCTTCAAGCAGCAAACAGCATTATTTTTAAGGAAAGCATATGTTCCAAATTGTAAACAACTGAGTTTCCATGGAAGTGTGTGAACGAGGAAAAACAAGGGGCAGGGAATTTGAGAAGAGAAACAGAAAGAGAAAATGAGAGAGAAGATATAAATTCCTTTCTCCTCATAGACGGCTCCCTCCCCCAAAAATGAGTCTGTTAACACAAGTAAAACAGATGCTCTTTCTGACGAAGCTGAAACCTCTTGAATCTTCAGCGTTAAATGAGATTAATGCTGCCTTCACGTCAAAGCCAAATGGTGTGTGAGCTTATTCAATTCAGTTCTTAAAGAAGTCTCGAAAGCCAGTTAATTAATCTATTCCTGAAAATAATGTATCTGTTCTCACTAATGCTGATGAAAATGACTGTTCCTGTGAATATATACTCAGAACCAAAGCTTTTAATACTGTGAATCCATACTGCATTAATCACTACGAGATGTCTTATTTTATGTTCTGTTCCAAAAGAGCTTTTTTTCTTAATTCATGGTGATATTGGTTCATTTTTTCCATCTCTAACAATCCTAAATGAAACATTTTGAAAAGCAAAGCACATTTTTTTAGAAAAGACATGCAGTGACTATTAAATTTTAGAAACAAGAGAAAAATAAACACAATACCTCTTGTAAATGTGAGTCTTTCTTTTTTGCTGATAAATTCAAATGTTTATCAATCAGGCTATAGTTCTTTTCTGTCTCTTTGTCAAACTTCTTTTTTTCTTCCTACAAATCAGAAAAAAAATGCAGACAACTATGATTAAACAGAGGGAAAAGGCATACACATAGTTAATCCATATTCTGGGAACCTCAAAATATGAAAAATACCTGAAAACAAAAAAAGTACCACGAAGTATGAAGAAATTATCTGGAGAAATCTATCTGCACCCAGGCCACTGCTTATTCATCATCAATACAGCATCAGGATGGAAGAGCCACTTATCTTTTTTCTTTTAATGGACTTTTTTCCAAGCCTGTTATTTTTCAACTCTTCTATACTTATCAGTGTTTGGAATTAATGCCATTCACTTGTCCCTCACTTAAAAATTTTTTCTAACATGAATACATAAGAACCAGCAGCTTAAAAAAAGCAAACTTGCTACAGATTTTGGCATAGAAATGGAATTCATTTAAAGCTGAGTAAGTTTTGATCTACATTAAAAATAATCATCATCACCATAGCAGGGGTGGGGGAAGAGGACCACCTTGGAGAAGACCTTTCCCAATTGTTCAGTATGAATATAACAATTAAATCCTCTGACCATGTCATCTACTTACCTAAAACTTAACAGTGATTTCTGTAACACAACCTAGAATACGTATCAATAGGTCAACGGGACCTAAAATAAAACTGACCTACTTGAACTGAGATCCTCTGGTGAACATTACAAACATTTCTCAGGCACCACCTAGAAACAGCATTTGCTTTCCTTTTGCTATAGTAGCTTTTTGAGAAAACAAGTAACAAAAATTTTAACTGCAGAGAAGACAGTCTCCCCAACACTGCTTGCCAATTTAATAGCGCCAATGAGCACACAGCGATGTCCTCATGCTGTCAAATGGTTTCCATTAACTCCAGCTCTCCCCAAGGCTCCAATGCCTCCCGGAAAGGAACATTCTCTTACTTCCCAACTGCTATTGTCTCAGTCAAAAATAATGGGCTCTTCCAGCCTCTTCTGGTGTGATCTTTTTCCTATTAAGCAAAGAGAGTAAATAAAGCAGCTAAATTCTATTTCTTAGCATGTATCATTCTTTTTTCACTACATGGGACCGCAAACCATTGTGAGAAGCTGGAACAGAAGCTCTGTTAGCTCACCTAAAGGACTTAAATTAACCCCCGACATTGACGGTAGAGACAGAGACTCAGGAACAGGTGTTTCTACTCCAAGTTTAATTACCAATAAGCCACACAACTTCGGGGAGGGGGGGAACCTGACAACACAGAACCTTAGTTTTCTTATTGAAAAGATCAAGAATTTGCTTTTGCACGAGCTCATTCTTAGATACAGTCCTAAGGTGGTCCTATGGTCCACCTGTATATAGGAATGGGCAAACTTTTGATGAAACAGAAGCACTTTTTTTTTCATGTCCTCGGTTTAATTTACAACTATTTTTTTAAAACCTTAAGGTGGGGGGAGGGTATAGCTCAGTGGTAGAGCACATGCTTAGCATGCATGAGGTCCTGGGTTCAATCCCCAGTACCTCCATTTAAAAAAAAAAAAGAAAGCTTACGACATTAATAAGACACGGTAACTCTCTTTCCTGCTTTCCATTATGACACTCATCCTCAACAATTTTTATGACTAACAGAAAATAAACTAAAAAGAACATATGACCATTACTTCTCATCTCCACTATTTTTAAAAGTTCCTACTGTAGAGTATATACTGGATTAGGTGTCAGAAGACTCAGGTTCTAGTGGCCACGTATGATTCTGTGATTCTGCGTTCTCATGTCACAGCCTTCTCTGAGCATCATCACCTCAGGTTCAAACAATACAGGACTGGAGGTCAAGCCCCTGTGCTGAGCACACGACTGCGGCAAAGCAACATCACGTGGTTAAAAACATCGACCATCCCTGCAGATTAGTACTCAGCAGGCATGCTGAAAACATTTTTACTCCTTTGATTTCATCTGAATCACAGAATGGGACAAAGGAAGCAGTGATGCTAAAATCAGCAGTAAAAACTAAACACCCGGCACACTCAGCAACAGTCGGGTATGGAAATGAGCACGTGGGTTAAGTTGGGAATGAAAGAGAACAGCGGTATCAAGGCTTTGTGGAGAAAGAATTTAGCCAAGAAACAACATCACACCCACCAATTAGAGTGGAAATACATTCGTTCATTCTTGGTATGGTGTTACACAAACGCTGCTGTGTTTTATTTTGAATCTTAAGACTTAGATAATTATTTCTCCCTGCATTTGTTCCCAATGTCATTATAGAATACTATTGTGTTTCTTTGTACTCTTTGTACTCCTATGACTTTTGGTGCTTAAATAGCATGAATTTTAAAAGGGACTGTGTTCAAGTAGCAGTCAAAGAATAGAGCCTTGTGTCTTCAACAAAGCAATATAGGATATACATACATATATATGTATGGAATTATATTCATGTGTGTATATATATAAAATAAATTGAGCAATATAAGATGAAGGGCTCTATCAAGGGTTAACTTAAATACAATGAATTTTTTTTAATAAAACAGCATTCCTCTAAAAAAAAAAAGTTGAAACAAATGAATTTATTTACAAAACAGAAACAGACTCACAGACATGGAAAACAAACATGTTTACCAGGAGGGAAAGTGGGGAGTGGAGGTATAAATTGGGAGTTTGGGATTTGTAGATACAAAAAAAAAAAGTGAGTCTGTGTCCATGTGTCCAGCTGGAAGGAAATAAGGAGAGGTGGGCGCAAAGGTAAACCAGCTGGCCCTTGTCTGTTCTAGAGCAGCGGGCCGTGACAGAGCTCCAGCAGATTTGTGCCATGTGGAAACCTAAGCTCAGTATACAGGCCACGTCCTCTGATTTTTCTGGAACAGCTGGAAAACCCAATGATTTTTAAATGGTGGCAGCAACAACAAAAAAAAATTTTTTTTTTTTTTTAGTTTTAACATAAGTAAGCAAACAAATGTTGAAAGTTAAATATGATTCATGGGAAGTTGGCTTGTAATCTGTTATAAAATCGCACATGGCAAAAAAAAAATAGGAAAGAAGAGCTATTACTTAAAACAGCATCATTAGTTAAGATGCATTCTGTGTAACAGCCGTAGTGGGAATTCATAAACCTAAGAAGCAAAACAGTTTTTCTGAATATATTAGAAGCAAAGACATATACATATAAAGGTGTCATCACAAATCACTGGACAAAGAAATATTATTCAACCAATGCTGTGGGTATAATCGGTTAACGGGTTGGAAATAAAAAGAGAACCACATCTCATCTCAAAATTAATTCCAGATGGATTGAAAGAGTCACAAGTAAAAAATGAAGCCATAAAAAAAGAATATTTTCATCAGATCTCAGAATGGAGAAGGAACTTCTGAGCAAAAAAGAAATGGAAGAAGTCTTAAGAACTCCAGATAGCAAGACATACACAATAAATAAGCAAAAAGGCAAAGAACAAAGCAGGGAGAAGATGCAATTAATATGTAAGAAAAGAAGTAAATGGTCCTAACACAAAACATTCTTTATTAAGCACTTTTTCTGCTTTATTAAGCACAGTATACCTCCATGGAGAAATGAATACAAAACATACAAAGAAATCACAGAAGTCTGAACACTTTTGTGAATTGTCCACATTTCTATAGGACATCAGAATTTTTTGTTTTGTTTTAGAAGAAGGGGGTAAAAAACTTTGTAAGTTAACAGGTAACTCTCTTTTTTAACTAGTTTTGATATTTTAGAAATTTCCCAGGATGAGGAAATGAAAAAACTTACTTTCAAACTATGAACATTAAATAATAAGGCATGACTAGTTTAGACAAGAGCGTAAAGACTTCCTTAAAGAGTCCAACTCTTTTTCCCTTTTTATTTAAATAAAAAGGTGGGGGTGGTAATACCATAGCTACAAGAAACAAGATTCGTAATACATGTAATCCGCTCAGCAGGAGCATTTTTTTAAAACGGAATCCTGTGTATCGCAGCCAACCAGAGTTTTGCAACCCCTGTTCTTCTACCGACATCCTACAGCCCAGGTGAAATGCCACCTCTTCCATGAAGCACCCTCCAACCCCTCCAGTGGGGGGAACAGCACCCTCCCTTAACTCCTGCCCCAAGTGTCACCTTCCCTACTTGACACTTCATTGGCCCTATCCAACCCCACATCCGCTTTTGCCTTTCAGCTCCTTCAGCCTCTCCAAAGAGAGGAAAATTCAGTCTTTGTCCTCATACCCAGGAGAGGCCCTGGAGACATACGTCAGAGAACGAGGGAAGGGGCTGCAGCAGCCCTGACACAGACAAAGCACCTGGGCGTTGGCTCCCGGGCAGCTGCTCCGGAGCCACCAACCCATCACCTTGGCACCATCTGCCCAGGAGGGTCGCAGCCACCACGCCCCGGCACGTTAGCTCTGAACCCAGCATGCCAGGAGTGGACGAAAACCCGAGCAATTCTTGTGGGGCAAGCTGACACGGAGCAAGTCGCAAAGGGGATCAGAAAATAACTGCAACCGTGTATATGCCAGGCCCCGCTCTAGACCCCAGGAAAGCAGGATCACATTCACTGAACCCTCACCATCACCTTCGGGGACAGGTGTCAGGAGTCTCATTTTAAAGATCAGGAAGGGGGAGGGTAGAGCTCAGTGGTAAAGCACATGTTTACTGTGCAGGAGTTCCTGGGTTCCATCCCCAATACTTCCATTAAAAAATAATAAAATTTTTAAAAATTAAAAAAAATAAAGATCAGCAAACTGAGGCTTGGAGGCTTTAATTAAGTTGCCCCAAATCACAGAGCTATGTAAGGGGCAGAAACAAGATTCAAATGAGGGACAATCAGGTCTTGCTGACTGACGTCCCTGGCGCTCCAAAGCCCAGATGACAGGGTGTGTTCCCGAACACCTATGCTTACTGCTAGAGCACTTCGCACAGCGCACTCTCACTGCCTGTTTACTTGACAGACTTGCCAATTTCTTGAAGGCGGGCCACTGTTTTAATTCCTCCTTGTATGTCCCAGGGTCTCTCACCCTGGGCCATGACAGGTCGGATTAAGTGTCTTTACTACTAAAATGAAAGAAGTGTAATTAAATCCACTTTTTCCCCTGCTTTATCAAACATAATTTGAGAAATTATTCAAATAGATTTGTATTTTTAACCCATATTTTGCATTCATCCGCAAAATCACAGGAAGTCAGTTTTTATTAAACATTTAGTCATTAGACGTAGCCTTAAAAAGAAATACAAGAGAAATTTGGGGTAAGAGTATGGCAATGGGCAATGGCTGAGCTGCTAAGGTACCATTTATGAAATCAACACTTTTTAACCCTTTGGTTAAATTTTTTTTTAATTCTATTGAATAAAACAGTAACTGGCTCTTTACGAGACAGTATTTGAATAGGCTCTATGAATTGTCAACATCAGGGGGTTGTAACCGTTTGATATTTGCACACAGCTGTTTTCAGAGAAAGAGTAAGTTTCAATTCTCCCACTGAAACTCTGAGCACACTCTGGTGTTTCCCAGAGTTTTTATATGATGCCTTTGGCTCTGATGCTGTCTGGTACTTGTATTAGTTTCCTGTGGCGAAAACAACATTTAAGGAGCGATAATTATGGACCAATTGCTGTGCCGACCCTTGGGAATAAGTGACCAGCTCCTGTGGAAGGGGCAGAGCTTCAGCAGAGGTTAAGAGCTGAGCGAGGAACCCTAAACTGGAAGTGGCTGTGACCCAGCACAGATCGGTCTCGGTCCTGCAGTGGGAAACAGGGCTCTTTAAACTGAGACAAGCTCCTGGCAGGCACGTGAGAAAATGTGGCAGAGCCTACAGCATGGAGGGTTAAGCCCAAAACGAACAGGCATGACTGAAGGAGAACATATCCAAATGGAAGCAGAAAAGAAGACCTGGGGGCTTTTCAAAAATCCAGTTTACAAAAACCACCTGGTGGTTCAGATGACATTCAGCCCACAAGTGAAACATGTCACTGGGATTCTGGAAACTAGAGAATGAAGTAAAAGGAACTGAGAGAGCTTCCAGAGAAAGGCAAAGGGCCGGACAGCCCCAGACGGGGAAAAGGAGAAGAGAAAAGACAAGATAAACATTTCGACAGGAATATCTTAAGCATTCTGCTGTGGTCAGCTTTTAAAGAATTTTTTTTCCCTCCCCACATGAAAACTGCTTGTCGCTGTTTAAAAAAAGAATTTTAACCTAAGAGAATAAAGTTATGTTTAAGGACCCCACGTTAAGTCAGTAAACTAGTGGAACAAGAACACATGTGTGTCAAAATACGATTGATGGATGCTCTGTATGATGGCTAAGATGGCATTAGGACACTTACTCCCACTGCCACCACCAGCAAGGTTCCATTTCCATTACCGCTCCCACTCTCGGCTGTGATTTCAGCAGTGCGCAAGGCATTCTCTCTACATCCCTTCCAGTCATCCAAGAATCCTGTGTTATTGTCCTCTTTTGCAATGAGTACACTGATTATCACAAAGATTAGGTAATTTGTCTAGAGTTAGTGATCAGCAAAGCCAGGGATTAAGCCTGAGTTTGTCTGATTCTGAACCTAAAGTTCTTTCAACCATCACAAACAGCCTATCAAAAAACCTCTGTTAGTTTAACAATTCGTTTTCCAAAGCCTGCTCTGGATGCCCACAGTGCCTGTGCCGGTAAACCTGCTGTTGATGTGTCCACAGATGTCTTTCTGATTATCTTAATGTTTTTACTTGTCTTTATTTGCTTGCTTTTTCTTTCTATTTCTTTCCTTTTTGCTTCAAGTTAAATGTCTGGTCCATGGTCTGGAGCCTCTGTGGCAGCTGCTAATCACCCCAGTGAATGTCAATGTTATTTTTTAAATGCTGTTTAAGAGCTGTTTAGCACCATTTTCAATGCAGAGTCATCTTATAATAAAGAAAATTTCACACTTAAAAACAAATATGATTGATGTTTAGGAAGCAAAGAAGCAGAAAGTCATCAAACATCTAGATTACAAACCTCATCCTGGTTCTTCCAGAATTCTCTGTAGAACTGGCTTATTAATTAGATATAGTATACAGTAAGAGTGGAGTCTGGTGGAAAATAAAGACACAGAGCGTAGTCTCTTCTCTTAAAGATTTAACAGTCTAATCAAAGAGACAGGTGCTCATATACCGCTATATAACCTGGAACAATGCCCTTCCCTGCTGTTACTACTACAACACACAAAACTGCCAGTGGGGGGAGAAAGGGTTTTCCCTGTGACTCACAACCACAGGCCTCCTTGAAGGAAACAACAGGTGTGATCGCCAACACACACGCTGCACTGAACAAGAGTGCTGGGTAAACTCAGCCTGAGGCCAGGGAAACAATGAAGAAATAAAGACATGGGACTGCCGGACGGAATCTGGCCACTAAACAGCTCACAGCATAGACTAAAAGTACTAAAATAACTTAACCTTTGAATATGGGCATTTATTTTGCAAGCTGCTTTGTAGGACATAACCACTGACGCTGGAACAACGCAGGGGTGAGGGCCACCAACCTTCGAGACATCAAAAATCCCAAATATAACTTCAAGTAGGTCCTCGGCACCCCAGGTCCACATCCGCGGACTCCGCCACCCGCGGAGCTTGCAGCGCTGTAGCATTTACAACCGACAAATACCCACGTGTAAGGGGACCCACACAGTTCAAACCCGTGTTGTTCAAGGGTCGACTGTACTCTGAACAAGCACAACATCAGAAGCTGGAAAAGTCTGGGGGGAAATGGGAGTCGACAGAAAATCTGAGCTTGGAAATTTATAAAAACCCAGGAGGTGGATAAAAAGAAAAACATATTTATTAATGAAGTCACGTTCATTTTTCATTTCCATAATATAATCTTCGTCCACCACCACCATCATCCCATTAAAATAAGAAAAATAAGAAATGTCTGCATTTAGCACCTGCCAAGGAAACATTAAAAGAACCAAGATGTTCAAGCTTTAAAACAGCCTAAGATCAGAGAGAACAGCATCGTAAGACTGCAAAATGGAGCGGTCAGATCCCAGGTCCTTCACCCTTACAGGTAAGGAACTAAAGCCAGTTACTTGCCAAAGGTCACAGACATGAAACCAGACCTCCAACGTCCTGCTCCGAAGCCAGCAGACACACACCAGCCTCATGCAGCTCGGCAAACCATCCCAGGAAGAGGACCTGGGGGTACCCCCACTGACCTCCCCTCAAAACACCGCCCTTCACAAAAACTGTAAAATGTCATGCCGAAAAGAAGTGTCTGATATGGGAACAAGTCACCTAAAGGAGAACTCATTCTGTAAACAGCAACTGAACACCTGGCCCTCTCTGGGCCCATCTGTACAGCGACAGCCGTGGAGGCCACAGTGTTTATTTGTAAAAAGGATTTTAATAGTTTGTTTAGGAAGACAAAGAAAAACAAAACAAAAACCCCTCACATTCCCAAGGCAGATGGAGGGGAAAAAAATATAGATACAAAAACTCACTTCCCTACTGAAAACTGATGTTCCCCCCCTTCTTCTTGGGCCGAGCCAAACATGGTCAACGACACACAAACGCTGCCTCTCATCCCTTGAGTATATGCACAACATTCAGGAAAGGCTGGTGGAAATTATTTCTCTGAGATCATTTCAAAGCTCAGTTCGCAAACTTTAGAAGTGGCTAAATATATCCCAGGCTCCCTGTGGCAAATTCGCTGTGTTATTCCCAGAAATCCTGGCCACATCCCAGATCTCTGAGTGTAGAGTCTGTGGTTCGTTCACCTTTGAATCCCCAGCGCCCATAACACGACTGGAACGTAAGGGAAACGTGATAAATCTGTGTTACACTGAAGGAAATACATCCCAATAACCTAACGTTCTCTTTCCAGTTTCAATGGCATGATGGTGTAGCAGCGTTCTAATCGGAAACCCTAGAATAAAGTTATCCTCCACCATAAAATAAGTGCTTTCCCTGCAGAGTCAAGATGCTTCCACTCGAAGTCAATGCGTTGTTGGCTTAAAGTTACTTCTAAAACTATATGGAAAGGTGTAGCCAAGGACAATTACAACAGGGTTTATCATCCTGTCCAGGTGTTTTTGTTTTGTTCTCCATGTCACATCCACCAAAGGGGAAAAAAAAAGCACATTTAAAACATAAAACAACAGACAGTTGACTCCGACATCTCCTTCAAAGCTGCCAAATGTGAACAGAGGGTAGGCTCTGTGGACGTTTTCTGTTTACAAGTGAACTCAGATGAGACACAAACCTTGACGGCTCCAAGTTGCTCTTTTCTGAATTTCTCCAAGGGTTTAATCAGGGTTTCGGTTACACTTAATGCCTAGAACAAGGGCGGTAACAAAAGAGCACAGTATTAGGTTTCCAAAGAGGAAAAAAAACGTGTGTTTCATTTCCCTCTCCCACCCCGCCCAGAAATGAAATGAACAACACATTTCAGCGCTTTCTCTCCCCCTGCCAAGGCAACCATTAACTCACTTCTAAATTTATTAACATACCAGATCTCCATAAACATTTTCAGGGAAGAGGCGGTGGGGCAAAGTGCCAAGGAAATGTGCAACCCAGCCCCAACACAGCCCTTTCTTGGGGGAAAGAGCGAGGGGCTTGTCTGAAAACAAAGGGAGCTATCACGTTCGTTAACAGAACACTTCTGTTTGAGATTTTTTCCCCTCCTCCTCCTCCACATTTAAAAGTCAATTACATTCCTTTTTTATTAGCTATCAGACTACATTATGCAGAGGGCTAGGTTGGTGGCTACCAGTTTAAATCTGCTCAACAGCCCTTCATCCCTGAAAACTCCCCCTAAGGCTTTAGAGTATGTCCGCAAAGCAGAGTCACCAAAGCTCAGGACAGGCAGTCGTCCTTACAGGACACAAAGGGAGGTCACCCCAGCAGGGACCACCCAAGGGTCCGCGCACACCTTGGCACATCCTTCTACTGGCTGGTTTGGGACTTGTCATTTTAAGATAGAATCTACAACCAACGATGCTGACAATGCAGGTACTGAGGCAGGAAGCCCCATAAAAAGACCAGCAGGACCCCTAGGCAGGGCCGCTGCTCTCCTCTTAGCACCATCCGGTTCCCTGGCCCAGAGGCTCTATCTCACGCTTTGCCTCTAAAGCAGCTTACACCTAGAATTCTATTGGTTCCCTGAGCTAACTTCTGATTGGTTATTTCCTTCACTCCTGATTGGTTATTACTCTCCTCACTTCTGATTGGTCCACTTCCCTGACTTCTGATTGGCCCATTTGTAGTACTTCATTTGCATGAAGCACACTCCTGATTGGGCTATTTCTACAAAGCTTGTTCCTGGTTGGTCAACTTCTGTTGTACTTTATTTGCATATGATGTTGCAAAATGTAAAACTGGCAGCCTATAAAAGGACTGTGTAAACCTACAGACCCAGAGCTTGAAGCGTTAACTCTTCTGGGCCCACTGGTGTAATAAATCTGAGTTCTCCAACTCTCCAAGTGCTGCTTGGTCTCTTGCCCGGATCCAGGTTACTGTCACAACTGAGCTGTAACACCGAGCTATAATACATTTTTCTGCAACAGTACGAGAGATTATCTTTCTCAGAATGCTTTTAACCACAATATGCTGGTGAGTGGTGATGTTTCACCATTACCAGAAATAGTCAGAACAGAAGAGGAAACCTTCAAACACTTAAAAATGTGCCATCCCTTTTTTCACCAAAAGAAAAAAAAAGGGCCCCCAGAAATCCAAGTTCAAAATTACAAGAGAAAAAATTAGTGACTGAGACTAGGAAAGGATTCTTAATTTAACCACAGGCTCCTCTGCAGTGTTGCATTATGTGAGGGTTTCTCTCAGAGACCACTGGTCCCATGAGATGAGGAGTCCTCGAAAAAGTGATCATGTCCACACTCGAGATGCCCAGAGCCGGAAGTCTCTTCCCCAGGCCAGCTTCTGGGTTCTACTCACTCCCACCCTGACAATTTGCTACTTGGGTATCAAAGAATTGAGGCAACAGGAAGAATTAAGTGCGAATAACTAGTCAAGGGAAAGGGATCACCTTCAATTCTCTCCTCTATACGTTACAGGCCACATGACCTACAAGGGCCAACCAGAGAGTCCTGTGTACTCGGGACAGAGCACGGACAACAGCACATGCCAGGAACCCTGACGACTCAGCACGGAAGGCCCCAGGTTCCACCTGTGAAAGCTGATACGAGAGGTTCCCCCACGCACTTTAGAGGCAATTCAATAACACACGAGGTTTCAGCATAATTGAAGGCACGTGCCTATTGGCAATTGAGGGCATCATTCCCTAGGGCTCCACACCTGTCTACTAGTGTTCCTGAATAAACCTACACACGACAGATACATGGTCCATGGAGGCCGGCCTGCTCAAGTTCCATGCGGGGATCATGGGGCTGATAACTGCTGAAGTTCACAGAGGAAGGAGGCTCCACTATCAGGCACGTGGGAGCCCAAGCCTAACCACTATACAGCACCGGACCAAAGTACCAGACGGGTACCTCCCCATTCCAAGGTGCTGTCTCAGTCAACTCTGTATGTCATGAAACAAGCACCTGCAGGATACTCAGTGTTGGGTACCAAAGACATGACTATGAACAACACAAGTGCGGGCCCCGCCCTCGGAGAACCCACCATCTCCTAGGGGAGACAGACAACAGATACAAACACACGAGTCGACATGTAATTGCAAATTCTCATAATTCCTTCGAATGGAGAAAAGCAGGGCTATGGTGAGAAATTTATCAGAGGAGACACTAGGAGAAATGGGCTGGGGTGAGGTTGGGGGGCTTCATCAAAGAAGTCTGAGCAACATCTGAAAGACGAGAAGGGATCAGTGGTGCAAAGAGCAAGGGGAACAGCAGCCTGAAACCAACTGAGGCCAAGGATGGAGGGGAGGAGACAGCACTTTAGGAAACAGCAAAAGGCCGGCGTGCCCGGGGCATTAAGAACAAAGAAGTGGATGGAGGGGTGAGTGAAGGCAGGGGACCAGGACACACCGAGCCTGTGGGGGAGCCACATGGAGGAGGAAGCCACTTGGGTAAGAGAAGACTTCTTGAAGCGATAATGCAGACCTGAGCCTGAATTGGGGCACAGGAGTTCTCCAGGCAAAGGATACGAAAGGCTCTCCTGGAGAGACAGGAGAGCAGCAGCCCCAGGGCATGGAACAGCCAAGCAGCTGTCCAGTGTCACTGAAGCCCCGGAAGTCAGGAATCAGGGGAGGAAGCTGAAGAGATCCAGTGGGCTCCACTAACCATCACAACAGGCCGTAGAAATGCTCAGTAAGAGGGGAAGGTGTAGCTCAGGGGGTAGAACACGTGCTTAGCATGCACAAGGTCTTGGTTCAATCCCCAGTACCCTAGGTAGGTAAGTAAATCTGTAAGTCAACCAACCAGCCAACGTACCTAATTACCTCCCCACTCCCAAAAAATATTAAAAAAAAAATGCTCAGTAAATGCTCAGTGTGGGCATCAATAACAGGGCTATGTGAAGACCTTTTAAAATTCGAACCCTGAAACTCCAGACTCTGGAGTGAACACTGTCCTTCACAAAAGGACCAGGCCACAAAGATGCCACCTGAGCACTTTTATATCTGTCCTTCACTTGGAGAATTAATCCAGTGTAATATCTGTGTGACTTCCAAGGGCCCACATTAGGGCTGTTTGCAGGTCAATAAACCAATTTCCAAAGCAAGGAAAGAAGTCATTGGGACAGATACCACTGTAATTCTTTAACAAAAGAATGTTTTAATTTAAAAAGTTTTCTTTAATTTATAATTCATGATCATTTGCCTTCTTTAAGAAAGTCTGACTGTGTGACTTCTGAATTGAACCTTAGACATTCTACTCAAGAACAGAATCACAAAGTAGCTGCTAAAGGCTTCAGAGCCAGGCAGTGCAGGTTGAACAACAAAGATTGTCTTCCCGTTTCTCTCAAAACAGAGTGGAGAATCCATGGAATCTCTCGGTTCCTTTCATAATTTCACAGAAGTATTGTATAATATTTGTTAGTAATAAGTGTCATGGAAGTTTTCTAGTCCCAAAACATGACTCTTCTTCCCCAGAGACAAATGCCTGCCCCACTTGGGGACTGCCCCTAAAACCAACTCTAAGGCAGTTTCTGATGGGGAACGCTTCAGATCTGAAAGAGACAGGAGAAGTAATAACACGGAGAAAAGCTTTCCAATGCTAACGCTTTAGAGATCAATCAGATAATTGAGAGAGAAAGCAAATATAGAATGTGATTTTACAACCATACATAGAATACTATGTAACCACATTTTTTCCCATAAAATACTTGAACCAGCCACATATTTTTTTTAAAAAAAGCACAAAAAGCCTTGTGACTGAGCCTTGGAAAGAGTTTTGGATAGTCTTGCTTACAAACAGAATATACTGACATGAACATTTGTGTTAACATAACAAACATCTCAATAAGTTGGTCTCACCTTACAGCAGGGCTCAGTCAACTTTTTCTACAGAAAGTCAAGTAGTAAATAATTCAGGCTTTGAGCCACAGGGCCTCCGATGCAACTACTCAGCTCTGCCACTGTAGCACAAAAACAGTCATATGTAGTAATATAAACAACTGAGTGTGGCTGTGTTCCAACAAAATCTCATTTATAACAACAGGAGGCGAGGCGGGTTTGGCCCATGTGCTGTGGCTGACTGCACCCTGCCTAAGAGAACCATCGGGAGCATCACACCATAAGATGCTCTTCTTACTCTCACCTGATTGTGTATTTTTAAAATACACATTTACGTATCTGCAGGGCATCACAAGTTGGGAGGGAAGGTCAGATCCTGGGTGCAAGAATCACAGTTCAAGAAGCTCTCGAGCTGAAAGAATTCAAGAGTGGTGCCACTGAAGCTGCTGGGGATAAGCAGTCTACCAGACTTCAGCGCTCAAAGGTGAATGCTCCAGTCTTGACAACAGCTCATGTGAATTTTATAGTGGACTTTAACGGTGGCTTTGGCCCCGAAAAATGTGACTTAAATGAAAATACAGCATGAACTAATAATGCTGCACAAATTGCCCTTGGACGATCATGAGCACGTACAAAGGTAACATATTGTTCAAATGCAAACAAGGACATCATTCAGCTGTGTCCCAGAAGATCAGAACCGATCTCAACAGTGTGGTCACCAAATTTTAGAAGAGATATTCTTTAACTGGGGCAAAGCAGGGATGCGAGATCACAATGCTAAAAAGGTTTAGAAAGAATCGGTTGAAGAACAAAATAAAAGGTGTTCAGTTGGACTGTGGAGAAAGAGAACATTTAAAGGGAACATGATGAAAGCTGTCTTCAAATAATTAAAAGTGTACCAT